CCGCCCCCTTTAGTTACTGTTGCTATGTCCGACAAGCCATGTCGTGCTCACGCCACACATCATGTTCTCACGCAGGGAAAAATATATCGTGGAGCAAAGAGGAAACGGACAACACGCCAACAGGGGAAGTCGTGGCCTAATGGTTAGAGAGTCGGACTCGTAACCCAAAGGGATTGTAGGTGGGGGGAGTGAATGTACAGCGCTCTCTCCCACCTTCAATACCACGACTTAGGTGCCCTTGAGCAAGGCACCGAACCCCCAAATGCTCCCTGGGCGCCGCAGCATAAATGGCTGCCCACTGCTCCGGGTGTGTGTTCACGGTGTGTGTGTGTTCACTGCTGTGTGTGTGCACTTTGGATGGGATAAATACAGAGCACTAATTCTGAGTATGGGTCACCATACTTGGCCACATGTCACGTCACTTTAACAGACAAGACAGAGCAGGATACTTCTGCTATGAAACAAAGTCTCAGCTTTAAAATGTTGTCATGTTGTAAGAAATTAAATGAATAAATACTGTTTTGTGGCTCTTTAATGTGTCGTGAGACAGAACGCGCCTCAGTTCAAGCGGCATGTGAACCGAACGTCTTTTTTCTATACTTAAAGCACAAAATAAACATGAATGAACGCAGAAAGACGTCAGTACTCACCATTTTTCAAGTTTAAGTCCACCAAAGTTAATCTACTCTCCTGTCTGATTTGCTTGTTGGAAAATAATGGTGGATTCTGTGTTATGATTGGTCAGATCGCCTGTCAATCAAACTCCCTGCGAAGGGTCAATTGCATTGCAATTTAATGAAAATGTATTGCAGTTTAATTTATATTTAGAAAGTGCTTTTTGAACCACTTAAGTAGGACTGAAGTACATATTTATATGTAATTTCATAATTAATTCTATTGTCTTGATAGTTCACCCAAAAACTCTCTTATGAATTACTCATGTCGTTCCAAACACGTAAGACCTTTATTCATCATCAGAACATAAATTAAGATATTTTTGGTGAAATCCGAGAGCTTTCTGACCCTCCAAAGACAGCAACACAACTATCACGTTTAAAGCTCAAAAAGGTAGTAAGCACACCTATGACACTTCATGGTACTCTTGTAAATGTGCATGGAAGACTGACACGGAAGATAAGAAATTGTTGAATAAAGTTATTATTTTTGTTTTCTTTGCACACAAAAAGTATTCTTCATAGCTTCATAACATTATGGTCAAACCACTGATGATACATGGACTATTTTAACGATGTCCTTACTTCCTTTTCATGGGCCTTGCATGTGGTAGTTGCATTGCTGTCTATGCAGAGTCAGAAAGCTCTCGGATTTCATCAAAAATATCTTAATTTGTGTTCCGAAGATGAACAAAGGTTTTACGGGTTTGGAACGACATGAGGGGGATTTTCATTTTTGGGCGAACTATCCCTTTAAATTCAAATGCTGGATGTACTGACAAGCACTTATGGTAAACTAAAATGTACGTTAGTGTCATTTCTATCTATATTTATTTAAATATATTATTCATTATTTATAATGATGAAGGTTCAGTTTTGTAAATATTGTGTAAACATTAATTACATATTATTTGATTAATTTAATAATTTATTTTAAGACTATTAATTAGGAATTTTACCAAAGTATACTTTTTAAAAGTGTACTTAAGTGTGTTAAGAAGCATAGTCAAGAAAGTGGACTTTATTTCATTAATATTATCTTATCTACAATTACATTATGCTTTTAAGATTTGACATAAACTTCAAATTAACATTCAATACAATTAAGTGAGCTTCTTTTTCACAAGGATATGTTGGATTGAGTAGTTAAATTCTCTGTTTGGTTTGACTAATAAAATGGATAGATATGTTTCTAAAATCTATGACTACGACCTTTGACTGCACACAAGTTGAATTCTGCATACATCATGTTTATATGTTTCTTGGCAACCATGAACATATTTCAGAATTGATAATGATCTATATTATTTAGTTAGAAACTTGGCTCGTTAATATAGAATGTACAGTCATAGTTTGTGAATTCATTGACCATTTCCAGTTTTATAATATAAAATGTATTGTACTGAGTAAAATCTGATTGGATGAACTATGTTCAAAGGTGCTGTAAAACAGCCAATAGAAACACACCTGTGACTGCACAACAGTTGAATTCTGCTGTATACTAATGCTGCAAGTTGTTTGGCAACAGTAAACAACCTACATTTAATGAATAGTATTTATTAGCATAATTTATTCTGCATTTTATTACCAGCATATGTGAATGTTTACTAAACATTGGTGGTGTTCATCGTATTGCTCCTGGCTTACTGCGGTTGAAGCTTGAGACTATGGCAGGCTGAAGGATTGTAACTGATTTCAGTGTGTTGTTTTTCAGCAGTGAATAGG